AAGAGAACTGACTTATTTTATTTTTTTCCTAGGCAACATATATTTCTACCATTTTCCAACTGATTCCTTGCAGTAATTCTGGGAGGTCAATATTATCCTTATTTTAGATATGACAAAACTGCAGCTCAATGAAGTAACCTAAGGCTTAATAGCTATTAAGTGGTAGAGTCAAATTCAAGTTCTGTCTCTAATCTCCATGTTCTATGACACTTTGTTCTTCATTTAGTGAGAGTAATTTTAAAAGTAACAGTTAACGATGATCAACGCAGAAGAGGCTATCCATTTTCCTTGCCTTTCCTCCTTGCCAGACTCTCCAGTATAATGCTATATCTTTGTCTTATTCTAATTATGTTACCAAAAACAAAAACAAGTTCTGTGTTGAAAGATAATTTTTGACCCCCAAGTTTTCCTTTCTAATTAATGCTGGTGACCAAGTAGTGAAGCTTCTGTGTATGTTGAGAGAATATTTAGTTAAACAAGAATTTAAAAGAGAAATGTGTCATTAGACAATTTAGATACAGGTTTGATGCAATTCTGTTAAAAGTCGGAGTCCAGTATATTATCAGTCCTTTTAGTGTAGCATATAAAATATCTTTTTCTGGCAAAAGAGCCCTGTTTTTCTTCCTTTCTTTAATCTTCCTTCTTTTTTCCCAAAACAGGTCAGATTTTTTTTTTTTTATTAGACTTTGGCTCTAAATACCTTGGTTTTGAATCCATCCATGTATATTGCCTTGAAGAAGCTTCTTCTCAATGCCTGTTTCCTCATCTATAAAATGGTGAATTAGCCCATAACTTTATTACAAGGACCAGATCAAGTATATTAAATGGTATATAACAGTTTAGATTGACACTGGGAATATTTTTAATGTGTATATATACACATATATATGTATATACACACACATTTAAAGTATATAAATATATACATTACATATTGGCTATATAGACATAAATAAATGTCTATTTATTTATAAATAGACTGATAAACAGTGACCATAATTTGTCGCTAACATAGCTCATAGCCTTGAAAAAAATTCCAGTTTAGGTTTATTTGAGTGCTAGGTTTATTGAATATTTAAAAACAAATCAGTATAATTCACCATATTAGTAGAATAAGGAGACAAAAATCCTGATTCTCTCAATGGATTTAGTAAAGGCAATACATCCATTCATGAGAAAAACTTTGCTTAGCAGAGTGATATTATTGAGGAAAACTTTTGGAATTTGATTAGGTATTAACTAAAACCTTAGAGCATGAACAAAGATATTTGCAAATCTTATTGCTGGGACATACAGCCAGAATATATAAAGACCTCTTATAGCTTACTAATAAAAAGACAAATGGGCCCAATAATAAATGGGCAAGGGATCTGAGTAGATATTTCTTCAGCAAGATATACAAATGACCAATGTGATTACAAAAAGGCCCAATATCATTAGTTATCAAGGAAATGCAAATCAAATTTGTAATGAATTCTACTTCACACCAACTAAAATGGCTATATTTAATAAAATAAAGAAAACAAAGATGTGGATAAGTTAGAATCTTCATACCTTATTGATGGGAACATAAAATGGTCTATCTACTTTGGTAAATAATTTCTTAGTTCCTGAAAAGTTAAACTTAGAATTACTATGTGACTTAGTATTCCACTCATAGATCTATATGCAAGAGAACTGAAAATGTATGATAAAATAAAACTTGTATACATATGTTCATAGCAGCATTATTGAAAAGAGCCAAAAAGTGAAACAACCCAAATGTTCATCATCTGTTGAATGGTTAAGTAAAATGTGCATACCCATTACAATGAAATAGTATTTAGGAATAAAAAGATGAAGTACCAACACATGCTACGATGTGGATGAACTTTGAAAACATTATGCTAAGTGAAAGAAACCAGTCAAAAAAGGCCATGTATCATATGATTCCATTTATATGAAATGTCCAGGATAGGAAAATTCCTAGTTACAGAATGATTAACGGTGTTTAGGAATGGGAGCAGGAGGGAAGAAATGAGAATTGGTTGCTAACATTTACTGCATTTTATTTAGGGAGTATAAAAATGTTCCAAAGTTAGAGTTTGATGATGACTGCACAACCTTGTGAATATATTAAAAAACATTGAATTGTATTGTACATTTACATGGGTCAATTATATGGTGTTGAATTATATCTCAGTAAAGTTGGTTCAAAAAATAAAATGGCAGAAATAATGCTAAATATATGTATTGTACTGATAAAAAATAAGTTAAAGAGTCTTGAATTAAAAAAAAATTCTTGAATTATGTGAGTGAAAAAGGAACTCCAAAATTCATATGCCTATAAATACAACTATTTAACTGGCAAAAACTGTCAGGTTCAACAATCAAAAACTTACTGCTACCAGGGTAAGAAAGCACAATGAAGAAAAATCAGAAAAATGTCATTAAGAGTGTTTAGTGGCATTTTAATTTTACCCCGATTTCATCTTCCACTCCCCAGCTCAGCAGCATCTTTGAAGACAACCACCTGCATCCCTGATACAGGTACCTAGTACTAGAGGGAGCAGATGTGACCTTACATTCAAGGATGTATAGTTGTTTTGACCTGTTTGATGGTTTTCTGAAAGATGTTGCCTTTCTTTCACCTAACTCAGAATTCTCCCAGAGCTGGGGAGGCCACCCTGGGGGCAATTGTCAAAACCAATTTAAAGGCAAATGTATTAGTCAGTATAGTCTGGAGCAAGGGAAAACAGAACAAACAATAATCAAAAACTTGTAGGGGGTGGGGGAGGCTGAAGATTGAAATGCTTTGAGTAATAAAAGCATTGAAGAGCTCCCACATTCTCTGAAAAATTTAGAAAGCCACATGTATATCCAGGGCTGGATGCATGTTCAGAAAAGACCTGAGAAATTCCTAAGGTCTTGTCTCTGGCTGATCATCAGACTTCTATGCAGTGGGAATCAAAGGCTAAGGAGGAGTTGTAAACTTCCAGTGTTTTGTCAGTTTGCCTCAGCCACATACACAACTCATTTACAAATACTAGATTAAGACTTTTTTTTTTTTTTTTTTTTTTTGGTCACTCCTGGTGTTTAAGTTATTCCCTAAGCTAATTGAACAGAGACTTCAGTGGCCATAGTGACCAAAAATAGAAACTTGTAGTCAGAAAGATTACTAAACAAATATATAAAATTACATCAAGCCCCAAAACACACTCAATCAAAGGAGGAGATTTTTATTTTCAGCATTGCCACATTATAATATTTAAGGTGTCTAGTTGTTAACAGAAAGTTACAAGGTGTTCAAACAAAAAGTTATCCTTTACACAGGAAAATAATATAGAAAGTGTCTAGGGAAAACCCAGACATTGGCCTTACTAGACAAAGGCTTTAAATTAAAATGTTAAAATATGCCCAGAGAACTAAAGAACCCATGAGAACAATATCTAACCAACTGAGGAATAGTAATAATGATATTATATTAAGTTATATTTTAACACAAAATTATAAAGAGGAGTGAATCGAAATTTTGTTGAAAAATATAGTGATAAATGAAAAATTCACTTAAGAATTCAAAAGCTAATTTGGGCAAGTAGAAGTAAGAATTAGTGAACTTGAAGTTAGGTCAGTTGAGATTATCTCCACAGCACAGAAGGAGGAAAGAATGAAAAAAAATGAACAGAGTTTGAAAGATGTGTGGGACGAACACATACACACAACACCAACACAAGGAGTCCCACAAGGAGAGTAGAGAGAAAAAAGGACAGAAAGAATATTTGAGGAAATTATGGGTGGAAATATTCCAATTTAATGCAGGATATGAACCTGCATATCCAAGAAGCTTAACAAAAACTCTAAATAGGAGAAAGAGATCCACACTATGATACATTTTAATCAAACTGTTATAAGACAAGGACAAAGAATCTTGAAAGCCACAAAAGTAGGGGCACCTGGGTGGCTCAGTTGGTTAAGCAGCTACCTTTGGCTCAGGTCATGAACCCAGGGTCCTGGGATGAAGCCCATGTTGGGCTGCTCAGTAGGGAGTCTACTTCTCCTCCTCTGCCTCCCATCCCCTCCCCCAGCTCATGCTTGCTTGCATGAATGAATGAATGAATGAATGAATGAATAAATAAATAAATAAATAAATAAATAAATAAATAAATAAATAAATGCAAGCAAAAGAGAAGCAGCTCTTCCTATGAAAACATTCTCAATATAATTACCAGCTTATTTCTCTCTGGAACATAATAAAGGCTAGAAAACAGTAGGATGACATAATCAGTTTTCTGGTTAAAAAAAAAAAAACAAACACATTGTCACCAAAAAATCCTATGTCTGGCAAAACTTTAAAAATGAAAGAAATTAATTTGCTATAGTGACGCCTATGTTAGATTGATTAACCGTTGATGCCTATCCCTATTGATTCAGCAAGCTACAGCTAGTTAGACAGTTGCAGAGAAATGTTATCTCACGATTTTTCCAGACTTTCAGTATTTAGCAAATATAAATAACAAAAACAAAGAAGACAAATCTTTGAGTATCTAGTCATTTCCAGTGCCTTTTATTTATTTATTTTTTATTTTATTTTATTTTTTCATTTTTTCCAGTGCCTTTTAAATTATTTCTAATGGTAAATATCTATTCTTGTATTTAGTTTTGCATTATATACCTCTTAAGGTATATGGATATTTAGCTGCTTCAACTATCTTATAGAAACTTATTTATAGGATTTCCAATTTAATTATCATGATTTTAACATTTCTGAAAAATAAGCCCCGTTTTGTACCAGGTCTATAAAGAGAAATGTTTTCATGAAGCTCATCTTTATCCTATAAAGAAATACTTATCTTTTAGTCTTTTTTGATAGCATTTATGGTATTTCAAAGAACTATTCTCAGAGATCAAAGTGTTACACTAATGTTTCTAATATTGGGATAGGAAAAACATAGTCAGGGTTTTAGTTTGTTATAAAAATTAGCAGCAAAATAACTAACAGTGATAAACTTTTCTCTCTTCAGAGCCAAGGAATATGAAAGTTTAATGGAAACAAAAAATACTGGATCTGACTCACCTTATAAAGCAAAGTGAGTATTTTATTCTACATTTTATTTCTCTACCTTACTGGTATCTGCCTATATAAAAGTTTATCTGAACTTATATTCCTCTGATCCTAGGCTTTATATCTGAAGCCTAGAACTTCATTCTTCTAACACAGTAGTTTCCAGCAGGAGACAGTTTTGCCAGGGGACATTTGGCTGTGCCTGGGGATATGTGATCACATTTTGATTATCACAGCTTAAAGAAATGGTGCTTCTCCCATCAAATGCATAGAGACCCAGGAATGCTGTTAAACGCTCTTCAGTGGGCAAGACTGAAGCAAAGAATTTTCTCATCCAAAACATCAGTAATTAGAAAAATGCTGGTTCTTGCTCTGAGGAGAATCTTGCTCAGGATTAGTGCCAGGGCCGCCTGATGGATGAGGATTTAGACCCCACCACTGGGTGTAAGTGTAACTACACAATAGCTAGACAAAACCATCATCGTTTTGCTTTTCTCAAATATATTAGCAGTAGAGGTGCGGTGAAGAAGGTATTCAAAAACAATGCTGATGGGAGTGCAGGTTAGTATAGTCTTATTGAAAGGCAATTTGAATCCAGAGCTTAGAACTTCTACTTTAAGCTGCTGAGTGAAATAATGCAAAATGTGCCTAAGTATTTATATACCAAGATGACTGTTTTAATATTATTTTCCATAGTGAAAAAGTCAAGAACGGACTGCCACAAATTGAGGAATATCTATAACCACTGGTTGGTGTAGATATGCTGTAGCATTTTAATGTAGCAATTATTTACATTTAAAACAAATCATGTTTCCTGTCAGAAATTAGATAACCCATCAGAAAATTGCTTTTATTAATTATTGTTTTGGGGACGCCTGGTGGCTCAGTGGTTGAGCATCTTCCCTCGGCTCAGGTTGTGATCCCGGGGTCCTTTGATCGAGTCTGGCATCAGGAAGCCTGCTTCTCCCTCTGCCTTTGTCTCTGCCTCTCTTTCTCTCTCTCATGAATAAATAAATAAAATCCTTTAAAAAAATATTGTTTTGAATCTATTAGTCATTGCGATTCTAAAAGAAAAAAATTGTAAAATATTAAAGAAGTTAACAAAATTACCAACATTATGATGATACTGTATATCTGGAAAACCTAAGAGAATCAAGTGAAAAACTAGTAGAAATTAGAGAATCAATTCAGTAAGATGACTAACTACCAAATTAATGTGATATTAATAATAGCTAATGTTTACTGAACCTTTGCCTTATTCCTAGGCTCTTTACTTGTGTTGACTCCTTTATTCCTTGCAAGAACTCAATGAATTTCATTAGTGAAGCTAACTAAGCCTTACAAAGGATGAGTAACTTGCCTTAAGGTTATGCAACATCCTGGCTATAAAATTAATACTTTCTTTTCTGATAATCAGTTAGAAAACATAAATATCATTTATAATAGCAACAAATAAAGTAAACTAAGAATAAACTTAACAAGAAATATGAAGGCTCCATAAAAATTGAAAACCTTAAAATGCTAACATTATAACAAAGGGTATATAAAAGAAGACTTATATGTAGAAAGACAAATTATACTCTTGAATAGAAAACATGGTATAGTAAATTTTCCAAATTCTCCTACAACCAAAGTGTAAGCTGAATAAAATAACTGCCTTTAAAACAATAGAATAATTTTAAAGAACATATAGAAAATGAGAAGTTCTAGAGAAAAAAACTTTTTAAAGGAAAATGAGGTAGGATTGTACTGACAGATATTTAATAATACTGTAATAATATCTAGGTAGTTAAAATAGTTTTGCATTGGCACATGAATAAAAATGCAAATTGATAAAGAGATTTTTATTTTATTTTTTTAAAGATTTTATGTATTTACAAAGATAGCCAGAAGAAGAAGTTCAGCCATTCTGGTGGCATGACCCTGTACAATATAACTGCTACTATTCCATCAAGAGGTGGTCTCATTTCATTTCGTCTTGAATTTGTTCTGGCCTCTTTTTTTTTTTTAATAATAAATTTATTTTTTATTGGTGTTCAATTTTTCAACATACAGAATAACACCCAGTGCTCATCCCGTCAAGTGCCCCCTTTAGTGCCCGCCACCCAGTCACCCCCACCCCCATCCTCCTCCCCTTCCACCACCCCTAGTTGGTTTCCCAGAGTTAGGAGTCTTCCATATTCTGTTTCCCTTTCTGATATTTCTTACCCATTTCTTCTCCCTTCCCCTCTATTCCCTTTCACTATTATTTATATTCCCCAAATGAATGAGACCATATAATGTTTGTCCTTCTCCAATTGACTTATTTCACTCAGCATAATACCCTCGAGTTCCATCCACGTTGAAGCAAATGGTGGGTATTTGTCGTTTCTAATGGCTGAGTAATATTCCATTGTATACATAAACCACATCTTCTTTATCCATTCATCTTTCAATGGACACCGAGGCTCCTTCCACAGTTTGGCTATTGTGGACATTGCTGCTAGAAACATTGGGGTGCAGGTGTCCCGGCGTTTCACTGCATCTGTATCTTTGGGGTAAATCCCCAGCAGTCCAATTGCCTCTTGACTTGTTTTGACCTATAGACTACTATGGAAGCAATAGGTGATTCCCAAGACTTGGTCTTAGATGCTTCAAGGCTTCTGCTTTCAACTTCACTTTCTTGCTTCCCTGTGATTACCCTGTAAGGAAGCCTGGGCCAGCCCCCTTTAGGACGAAAGATCACTTGATCATGGTGATAATCCTTTTAATATGCTGTTGAATTCATTCTGCTTGTTTTGTTGAGGATTTTTTTTTAAGATTTTATTTATTTATTCATGAGAGATACGGAGAGAGAGGCAGAGACACAGGCAGAGGGAGAAGCAGGCTTCCTGCGGGGAGCCTGATGTGGGACTCCATCCCAAGACCCCGGGGTCACACCCTGAGCCAAAGACAGATGCTCGACCACTGAGCCTCCCAGTGTCCCTCTTTTGAGGATTTTTGAATTAATGTTCACGTGAGTTATTAATTCTTTTGAAGCCTCTGCTTGTGTTACCTTTGCTTATGTCCTGTTCGCCAAAGCATGTCATCTCACCAAGTTCAGAGACACTGTAGGAGACTATACAAGTCATGGATAGTGGGATCCTTTGATTTAACAATATGCTGCAGAATTTTCTCTGGATTCTCCTCTTACTTGACTGACTGCTCTACTTCAGTATTTTTTGCTTGGTTCTTTCTTGTCTCTTTGATTTTTGACAGTAGCAGGCCTTTCTCCTGAGAATTCAAATGCAGAATTATTCCCTTGTTAATCTTTTTTTTTTAACGATTTTATTTATTTGTTTGTTTGTTTATTTATTTATTATTTATTTAATCGAGAGAGAGAGAGGCAGAGACATAGAGGGAGAGGCAGGCTCCATGCCGGGAGCCCGATTCGGGACTGGATCCTGGGACTCCAGGACCACGCCCTGGGCCAAAGGCAGGCGCTAAACCGCTGAGCCACCCAGGGATTTCCCCTTGTTAATCTTATTGAGGTTTATGACTTTAAACATTTAGTCACTGATGGATTTTAAGTGTTTGATTCCAACCTAGCCCTCTCCTCAGAACTCTAGACTCAGATATCCAGCTTCCTGTTTAGTGTTTCCACCTGGTTATCTGTCTCTTCAAGTGGCCCCTTCAAGTGAACATGTACAAATTTAAGCTCCTGGAATTTGCTCTTAAACCTTACCCTTCACATGTTTTCTCATCTTTAGGAAATAGCAAATCCATCCTTTGAGACTAAAATCTTTTTTTTTTTGAGACTAAAATCTTTAAAGTCATCCTCTCTTTCTTCACACTTCACTTTCGGTCCACCAACAAATTGTCTTGGCTCTATCTTTAAAATATATTCAGAATCTGACCACTTTTCATTACCTCCACAGTAACTAGTCTGACCGACTATTGTCTCTCATCTGGAATATTGTAGTAGGCTCCTAATTAGTCTTACACGGCTTCTGCTTTTCCTTACTTACTGGGTAACCAGGATGTTCCTTTAAATTATATATATAGAAAAAATAGCAGTAGCTATAGAAGCATAATTTATGAGTGTTTCCAAATCCTCACATAGACACCAGATTAATAGTTAAGAAAACCAAAAGCCGTGGCAGCATTTACAACAAAACCACATTACCAGGTACCTCCAGGAAATCCAAACAGCCACCAGACCTGCATGGTATTGACATCAGTGTGAAAGAGAGCAAAAAGAAGCAATTGGGATAACAATTGTAAAGAAAGGAGGAGAACCCCCAAATAACTCATGTTTCCAATGCAAAGTGTAGGGAACCAATTTGACCAAAGCACCTGTACCTCATTTTCAAGTACGTTCTCCTGGAAGTGCTCGTGAACAGTTTGCCTTGCTTTTTTGCATGTCCTAAATATCAAAAATCAGTTTTTCCAGTTGCAAAATCCTTGGTCCACATCTTTTTCTCAAGGATCTAAAATTTTAAAAAATAACATAAAAGTTATACTTTCTTATAGAACTAAGAGTGGTGCCCAAAAGAAAAAGAATATTACATAATAACTATCTAATAATTTTATAGTATAACTAAGAAAAATATCAGTGAATAGGAATTATATGCTAATAAACTGACCATTCTCTAATTATTTTGGTAATGATATTAGTAATGTTATTTTGAGTCTGTTGTGCATATAATATGGGATAAAGTAAAGGATGTTATGGAAACTAAGATTCTTCTATCCCACGTTCCCGAGAAGCTGAATTTTCAGTTTGCAGGAGATAGTAATGAAAGGAGAAAGGAAATAAATGTAATATAGAAGAAATCAGGTAACACCCCTATAAGACTGAATTTAAATTATATTAATTTATGGGGTATTTTATCTTTCAGAAAGTGGTGTGCATATGTATATTTGTGTGCGTGTACATATTTGTATATACATATATATGTATATACACACATTTCTTTCCTAGCTCTATCCGTTGAAGAGGCATTGAAACAATGATCAACACAGTTGCAGTGAGTTCATTGATTTGGGACTTAAAATATCATTTCA